TCCCCCACTCTCACCGCCCCGCACTGCCTGTTCCCCCACTCTCACCGCCTGTTCCCTCTCTCTCACTGCCCCGCACCGCCTGTTCCCCCTCTCTCACCGCCCCGCACCGCCTGTTCCCTCTCTCACCGCCTCGGGGTTGCCTGTTCCCTCTCTCACCACCTCGGGGCTGCCTGTTCCCTCTCTCACCACCTCGGGGCTGCCTGTTCCCTCTCTCACCCCCTTGGGGGCTGCCTGAGAAATCAGAGTTAACGTTTCGAGTTGAGTGTCCCTTCCTCAGAACAGAGACCCACGTCGTGGACCCTCCTCTGGATAACCCTCCACAGATGCCAGCTCCTCTTTTCCTGGGCCTTGTTTGCAAATGTTCTTTGTACTCTGGTGGTGGAGGGAGCAGGGTGTGAAGTGAGGAGATGGTTTGCGTCTGAAGGAAGGGAGGAGATCTGACTGGAATCTTTCATCGCCCTGGCCAGGCGACCACTTGGTGTCGGTTTGAAGGTTCTGCTGACGAGGCCAAATGCCTTTGGACCATCTGATTTCATTCCAACAACTCGCACTGTCTCCCTTTTGTCTCGAACATGTTATGCCTGGGCCGCGGTCAAAAGGTGTCTTTTCCGCACAAATGCTGCAGCGAACTCGAATGAGAGAGGGACGCACTCGTTAAAATGTGTCATTTTAACAGTCGGTAATCGATGAGCAGATTTCTCTATCCCCAGGTGTGTGCTGGCAGTAGTATTAGTTGACAGGGGCGGTGGGGGGCCGGGGGCTGAAGAATTCAACATTGAACCTGTCCATTCTGCATCGCAACTCAGCACACACGTACCGCCGCAGCGAGATGCACTGGCTCACCCCGAGATTAGCATCAGCTCCAACTGAACGAAGGACTCTCCCTGGTCCGCGCAAAGCTTGTTGGCTTTCCAGAGCAAAGAGATGTCAACGATGCAGACTGGCACATTCCAAGGCCCACGGCTACGTGCAGAGAGATGTTTAAAGACTTAGGACAGCTGCTGCCAAAAGGCTCAGCGCGAACGGGGAAAGGACACTGTTCAGAGTCTCTCTCTCCCTCACAACCGCTGTACACAGATGAGATGCAAAGGCTGCAGGACCCCTGCAAAAGGGAGCACGAAATGTAAATGTTAATATAACCTGTGATAATAAGTGTAGCACCCGGAAACCAAGCTGCATTTGCAATGTTCAAGTTAGAACTGCACCAATTTTAAGAATGAGGTTGGAGCTTTTGAAAAAAAAACGAGATCTATCTATGCGCTTTCCACTCGGGTGTTTCTGATATGTAATTTCAGTGTAAAACTGGTAGACAGCATGTGAAAAACACCGTGTACCTTATTTCTCTGGGAAAATGGAGACACAATGGCTCAGAACCTCTGCAATAGGTTGTCTAAGTCAACGGTGTAAGAAGTGCTTCTTGTAACCAACCAATTATAGGGACTTTGCAATAGGCCATTTAGCCCCGAGAGACATCAAATGAAATCAAGGCTGATCTGTGGCCTAAATCCACAAGTCTACCTTGAACAATATCCTTATCATCTTTGCTTTTAAAAAAAGGCCTCGACCATATTTAATAACTGATGTAGCATGCACTGCTGTTCGTGCCACTAAAATTCTCCCACCCTTTGTGTGTCAAAGGGCTTCCTAACCTCTCTGCTGAAACACTCTGGCCCTAATTCTCAGGCAATGCACCCGAGTTCTAGAATCGCCAACCAGTTTATCTGCCTTCTTTTCCTCTTAATATCTTGAAGACTTCGATCAGATCGCTCATTAGCCTTCCAAATGCTCCAGAAAACAGGCCTAATTTGTATAATCTCTCCCCAAAACATAACGGCTGAAGTCCGGGTATCATCCTTAAGCGTTCGTCGTTCCCCCCACCGCCCCGACCAAACTATCCTTCCTGAGCTCTGCTCACAGGCAAGGTTTTTGTATAAATGCAGCGTAACTTCTGCCTCCCTGTACTCCAGTCCTCTAGGTAATAAAGGCCAGCATTTCTCCCACCCCATTGTATTTTTTGTCTCTCCGCACTTGTTCACAGTATTGTAAAGATGCTGTGACTTTCCTGCTCCTAATTACACCGCCTCTGCTCTTGACCCACTGCACACCTATCCCAAACATGGGCAAAACCCTCAAAAATGACCTGGTGGGGTGGGGTGGGGTGGGGAGGGGGGAGTTCATGTCCAGATTTTAAAGCAAACTCTGCGCTGGCTGGGAGTGGATTGTGCGCTCGGGGAAGAAAGCCTTTCTGGAAATTTCTCAAGACAAACGCCCAGGAAGACAGGCAAGTCAAGCGGTCAGCTCGGCCCCCGCGACTTGCTGGCTTCCCCCTGAAAGGCAGAGCTGCATTTGGGATCGACCCCCCCGACTGCGCGGTTCCATTGTGCTGGGTGCACGGCGGCGTCGATCCTGCAGAGGGGCACGTTTTGCTGAGTAATTTTTAAATGCAAAAACCGAGCCCTTTCCGTGACGGGGGTGTGTGGGGAAATCGTGTCACGATTGCAATGGCAATTATGACTAATTCCAAACCACTGAAAGAAAAGCATGGGAAGGTAGTGCTAAGAATGCAAACTAGAAATGCACGCTTCGCGACTAAACGAACAAACAAAGGCAAGGGAGCTTTGCAATGTGCAATGTGCAATTGACCACTGGGCTTTGGCGATGTGGGCGACTGCTACGGTGTGGGAGCAACGGGAAAGGGTGGGGATGCAAGGGGACTGCGCCTTTACTGCGGCATTCTGTAGCAAAGCCGGATGATTGACAGGAGTCCCCGGGAGGCAGGTTCCTGGCAGCTTCCATTGCAAGAAAGACAGGGGGGGGGGAATGGAAGGGACCCATTGGCGAGTCACCTCCCCTCCCTCGCAACCCTTCGCCTGGAAGGAAGAGCCGTCGTATGGATTTGCCAAGCTGGAAAACCCAGCATTCGTGCCCACTTCTTGGACGCGGGAGGGTAAAGTGAAGTTTTTCCCTGGTTCGATCTACTCCCCTCAACCCTCCCCCCCCCAAAAAAACCCACTGGGAGAGATGGTCGCGCCCGATGGAACGTCGGTGGGGAGACCCACGTGGTGCGGGGCCGGCGGCTATAAAAGGTGCGCGGAGGGCAGCGGGCTGCCATTATCCAGCGTGCGGCGGACGCGGGAGGTTGTTAGGGGGAAGGATTAAAGAGAGACACGGCTGCAGCGGCAACCCGAAGTCTCGCTTTCACGGCAGAAAGGAAGGAGAAAAAAAAAACCCCCACACACACATACAACCGACGCGCGACATGAACGGTCAGATCAACGGCCTGAACTGCTCCTCGCTGGACGAGAAGGCATTCCTGTTCACCTCCGAGTCGGTGGGCGAAGGGCACCCAGGTGATGATGGCGGGGGAGAGGCGGCCGCGGCCGCCGCCGCGCGCGTGCGCTCGAAGGGGGTGGGAGCGCGCGTTGATTTGGGAGGAAGGAGGGGACGAAGGCCCCCTTCGGGCACGTTCGGAGGCCCACGCATTGCTGCCTTCGGGTATATTCGGCGGCTCGCGGCTCACTTCGGACATGCTCGGCGGCTCGCGGCTCACTTCGGACATGCTCGGCGGCTCGCGGCTCCCTTCGTGCACGTTCGGCGGCCCGCCCGTGGCCCCTTCGGGCAAGTTCGGCGGCTCGAGGCAGCCTTCGGGAATGTTCGGCGGCCGCGTGTGGCCGCAGCGCCGTGTTGGTTGGGGAGGGAAATGGCGGCTCCGGGCGCGCGGAGTGGGGTGGTTGGAGGGTGAAAGAGAGCCTCTATCCGCCAACCACAAAAAAAAATTAATAATCAAGAGCCGTCGGCTTCGGGTGGCCGCCATCGATCTCGCTCTGTGCCCTCCTCGGGCTTTCTCTCATTCGACCCGCCATTTTGCCGCATTGCCCTCCCGGGTGGGGGGGGAGAGAAGGGGAGTAGGCGGGCTCTGCCGACGTTGCTACGCCCCTCCGACCGGAACGAGTGTGCCCCTTTCGGGCACGCCTGGCTCCGATTGGCTCGGTGTCCTGTCGCTCAGGATGACTGTCAGCCGCCCGCTCCAATCCAAGCCGCTCCTGCTTCACCCACGCCGTGGTCGTAGTGCCCCCTCGTCTCCATGTTCCTTGGCACCTTCTTCGTGCCCGAGCCTGATCCCTCAGCCTTAATTCTGCGCAAGGACTGTGCCTTATCTCAGTCTTCAGTTGGCATCCCTTTATACTGAGGCTATGCCGTGTGGTCCTAGACTCTCCCATGACTCTCTTCCCCACCCCCTGTCAAGCCCCTTGAGACTCATAGATTCCCTACAGTGTGGAAATAGGCCATTCAGCCCAACGTGTCCACACTGTCCCTCTGAAGAGCATCCCACTCGTTTTCCCCCTACTCCTGCATTTCCCCGTATGTAACCCGAACATCCCTGGACACTGGGCAGTTCAGTACGGCCAATCCACCCTAGCCTGCACGCCCTTGGACTGTGGGAGGGAACCGGAGCACCCGGAGGAAACCCAGGCAGACATGGGGAGAATGTACAAACTCCACGCAGTCGCCCAAGGGTGAAATTGAACCTCAGTTCCTGGCGCTGTAAGGCAGCAGTGCTAACTGCTGAGCCACTGTGCTTGTTTCAATGAAATCACCTTTCATTCATCTAAACTTGTGGGTAGAGTCCTTGTTTTGTTAAGGGCAGAATTGTGCGCACGCAGTCACTTTGATTGCAGTAGGCATCACTGCTAAGTCTCCGTCCTGCCTAAACTTTGACTCACAAGTGCTTGCGAACCTTCTCTCACCCCATTAAAAAGGGGGGAAAAACCACAAATGCTGTAAATCAAAGAGCAAAAGAAGTGGCTGGAAAGGCTCAGCGTCAGCAAAACGATGCTGCTAGCATTGGTTGGCACTGCTGCCTCACGGTGCCAGGGACCCAGGTCAGATTCCACCCTTGGGCAACTGTGTGGAGTTCGCACGTTCTCCCACATGCCTGCGCAGGATTCCTCTGGGTGCCTCCCACAGCCCAAAGATGTGCAGGTTGGTGGATTGGCTGTGCTAAATTGCCCCATAGATTTTAGGGTGGAAAATGCAGCGATGGGGTGGGTCTGGATGGGATGCTGTTCAGAGGGTTGGTGTAGACTTGATGGGCCGAATGGCCGGCTTCCACACTAGGCATTCTACAATAAATCAGGATTGACAGGGTCCAAGAGGATCACCAGACCCAAAGCGTTAACTGATTTCTTGCAACAGATGTTGTCAGACCCACTGAGCTTTTTCAGCAACTTGTTTTTGTTTCTTTTCTCATCTTGGCCATTTGTGCCCCAGACTTTGGTTTTGTTGCTGCCTGGAGCAGCCCCTATGCGTGATTCAGTCAAACTGACGCAGTGGGTTTAATGTGGCTTCACCCCATGGTTTGAGGCTGGTTGATCTTTTGTAGCAAGGCTTATCTTGAATTCAATACAACCTTTTGTGCATTTGCAGTAAGTTTTTATGCAGAGGGATTTGTAGTAGGAGGAGGATTGGTGATAATACTTCCTTTTGGTTCTTGAATGTCTGAAAGTGCATTGCCAGCTTCCAGTTTAAGCCTGTGGAATGTGGCTAATTTGGAGTAATATGTGGCGTTGACATCTGAGAATCCGATGTATTGATTTATGGCTGCTGATTTGTCAACTGAAAGCCAGTTTTTCTTACAGATAAAATCTGCGATCAAATTAGTGATGCCGTTTTGGATGCCCATCTCAAACAAGATCCTGATGCCAAAGTTGCTTGTGGTAAGTTACTGATGTTCTTGTATTTTTATTAATGCAATCCATGGAAACATCTGAAATGTGAGTGCAACCTTCTTGATAAATTCAGACTCGGCTGTCCTTCTGCAGCTGGTTTCTTGCACTGATTTAATTGCAGACATAATTTTTCAAAATGCGCTTAATAGTTACATTAAGGAACTTTTGCTTGAACAGCTTGTTCATGATTGGAGGGGGGTGGTTGTTGGTGAGAAGAGATAATCATGACTCTGATAACTGTGACCTTGTTACTACTTGCAGAAACTGTTGCAAAGACTGGTATGATTCTCCTGTGTGGTGAAATTACTTCCCGGGCATCTGTAGATTATCAGAAGGTCGTGAGAGATACCATCAAACATATTGGATACGATGATTCTTCAAAAGGTTTGTCACAATCACTATTTCTTGGCTTTAGCAGTCGTGCGGTCTTAAAATGTGTAGTGACTGTGAACTCCTGTGTTTACAGGCTTTGACTATAAGACCTGCAACGTTCTAGTCGCTCTGGAGCAACAGTCCCCAGATATTGCACAGGGTGTTCACTTGGATAGGAATGAGGAGGATATTGGTGCTGGTGATCAAGTAAGTTCAGCCACCTATTTTGAAATGCTGTAACCTGTCAGTGGGTTTGTGTAAAACTAAACTCTGCAAAATTTTCTTTCTTCCCCTCCACCCCAGGGTCTTATGTTTGGTTATGCTACCGATGAAACTGAAGAGTGCATGCCCTTGACTATTGTTCTTGCTCACAAACTGAACGCTAAGATGGCAGAGTTGCGACGCAATGGCACTCTGCCCTGGCTCCGGCCGGATTGCAAAACTCAGGTGAGCTTACCTTAAGTGCAGTGACTTTGGGCTGGTAGCAGTTTCATTTGATATTTTTTCTTCAAGAAAGCTGCTGTCAGTCATGGAGCTTCTGTCGTTGTTTGACATTCTCGGACTCTGATCTTTGCCACCACCTCTGACTGCCTGGATAGACATGATTTGCATCGTGAGAATGTAGGTGACTTTGCTTGGACTGACTGCAGGTTCAGATATGCAACGAACCTTTGCATATGTCTGTGCAATGTTGAAATTCGGTGTCCGTCAGTGATGTTTATGTTGCATTTCTCGTCTTTGTGCAGGTGACAGTGCAGTACCTGCAGGATCATGGTGCTGTTATTCCTATCCGTGTGCACACCATCGTGATCTCTGTACAGCACGATGAAGAGGTTCCCCTGGATGAGATGAGGGATGCTCTGAAGGACAAGGTTGTCAAAGCTGTTGTGCCCTCCAAGTACCTGGACGATGAGACCATCTACCACTTGCAGCCCAGTGGACGTTTTGTTATTGGTGGACCACAGGTTGGCTAGAGCTGGTGTTCTTGTGTGCAGGCCTTCTGAAACGACTGAAATGCAGTCTTTAGATTAGTTTCCTGAAGCTGAGTTTTCTGCATGCACTGGAAAGCTTGCGCTGCTTCTCTTCTCTTTGTACGAGCTAACGGTGTAATATTTTAGCTTGTCCCTGCACTCTGCTGCTTGCCTATCCGTCACTGCTGAGGCATTTCCGTTCTCCATTCGCAGCCAAATCCATTGCTTTCCCCTGGTGCTTGCTGATGTGTTGGAAGCAGACATGCCTCCCACTTCCCCAACCTGCAAGCACCCTAACGCTGCCTTGACTGAGCTAACTAGAGACTTGGGGCTTGACCACTTAGACTCAGTTGCCTGATTTCACTTGCTGAAAGGAGGTGAAGAGTGTGGGCTGTTGGCTTGGCTCTTTTTAGTTTTGCTGTAACTTCAAAACAGCCACTACTTTTCAAATGGCTACTTACAGCCTTAAGTAAAAGCTTAATTGTGTGGCCAAGGCTGCCGACTGTGTAAATTTATCATTTGCCATGTACGTTATGTCACGTGTACGTGTTGTACCCAGTGTACTTCATGACTTGCAGCTCAGTTTTTGTAAACACCTGTGTACTAGTAGAATGTACTCCAGCAGTCCATAGGCCCACTCTCTCTTGTTTCTTTGCAATGGTAGGGAGAGTCATGCATGTCACAGCTTTGCTGCAGTCCTAGTGACAGTACTGGCAAGCGTTCGGGTTTGTTCTGATGACTGAGACTTAAAAAAACCAAAACCTCTCAAAACAGGGAGATGCGGGCCTCACTGGGCGAAAGATCATTGTTGATACCTATGGTGGATGGGGTGCACACGGGGGTGGTGCTTTCTCTGGCAAGGACTACACCAAAGTGGATCGCTCTGCTGCCTATGCTGCTCGATGGGTTGCCAAGTCTCTGGTAAAGGCTGGCCTGTGCCGACGTGTCCTTGTGCAGGTGAGTTGTTGACCGCTTCCTCTGTTTGGTGTTGCAACGGGGCTGGGTATGCTAGTAATCGGCACTTCCTGAACACCTCGATACTGAATCATTACCGCGGACTTTTGAGTTGGGATTGGAACAGGAGTTGACCAATGAGCTATTTTTTTAACCTTGTACGTCTGGTGGTTGGCTGGTGATGGGAGTTACAAATGACTGCCGTTATTTAGTCCGTCTTTTTATTAGGTGATAAAGATCCACATAAAGTGAGGCAAGGTAATGCTGGAGAACGTCAACAGTCATGACTCCAGAGCTTCTCTTCCAAGTATGGTTTAAATTAATATTGGGGTCTATCCATAATAACCATAATTTGAGGTATGTGATGGGGAAGTAGACTGGACTCCCACTGCTGTTTGTTGTCCAGTGTGATTGTATCAAGGTTTACTCGTGGTCCCCTACAATAAAATGTGCCACCGAACCCTCTGTCTTGGTTCTGGTGACCACTTCTGGTGCTAGTCGATGTGTGGCCTTAAATACTATTAGGGGTAATGTTTAATCTCTATTTATAGGTATCCTATGCCATTGGAGTGGCACACCCTCTCTCCGTTTCCATCTTTTCCTATGGGACATCAGAAATGAGTGAGAAGGAACTGTTGGAGGTGGTGAAGAAGAATTTTGACCTTCGTCCTGGTGTTATCGTCAGGTAAATGGTGTTGGGGGATAGTGAAATGCAGTTGGTTTGAAGGAAACAAAAGTTCTGTAGGGGGAAAGTCTCAACATTTGAATGTGTTTTCCAGGGACCTGAATATGAAGAAACCAATTTACCAGAAGACTGCAGCCTATGGCCACTTCGGTAGGGATAGCTTCCCCTGGGAAGTGCCTAAAAAACTTAAGTACTGAGTGTAAAGTCTTTCTCCCCAGATCTGTTGGTGTATAATACAGAGAAGCTGCAGGCTCTCGGGGAGAAAGACCCCTTTCCATATATCCTGTCCTCCCATAAATCCATACACTGCTAGTCACAGGATCTTCTTCCTCTCCTGCCCTTCTGTTACAGAGCTTTGTCCGTAAACCCCACCCCACCATCCCTGTGCTAGCCACTGCATCGCTAATGTGTAGTTTTGTTTAGCCGGGCAAGGGTTGAAAGAGGGACCATGAACTTGGGGGATCAAAATTTGAATTTCCATGTTCTAGTTGGGGGTTTGGATGACCAGACACTACAGTGTCCCAGTTACAGCTTGTAACCCTAGTCTGCAAGACTGCTTTTCTGCATACCATTTCCCGAATGAAACCTGTATGTAGTATTGCTTATACATGGAAGTGATAACCTATTGTCAGTGCTGTACCCAAATTTTGGGGCGCATCTAGTAATGGTGCTTATTGTGTGGTTCCAACCCTTTAATGTAACTTGATGTCCTGGACACTTAAACGTGCAGTCCTGTTTTTGGATTAGTGAACAGTTTTAATTTCC